TTAAGTACTCTATTTTGTCGGAAAATGGGCGAAAGTAGGCTTAATTTCTTTCGGCGATAAATTCTGTTTATGGAGATTAAGTATGAATTGAAACTTGTATTGTTTTCCAGCACAAAGCTCCAATGGAGAACTGATAACTACGATTTTCGATTGACGATTAAGTCTGATTGTAATGGTTGAGAAACGATTAGAAACTTGCATTGTTTTCTGGAAAAAAACTTCTGTAAAAGTTTGAGTGCTCTAGCTAGTCAATTAGGGGTCGTAATTTAAATCGCAAAATTTCATCCTAACATACTGCCGTGCAATGGAAAAATCAATGTGACTAAAATTGAGATTTTTACGTATCTGGTTTGATTGAGATTGAGATTACCTGGTATTTTTGTATAATAAGCTACATATTGCAAAAAAACGTTTTTTGTCAAAAAAATATTTTGTTTTATCAGTTTTCTGAAATTCTTTTGCTGTGCTCATGTTATTAGCAATGGAAAGAAAATAAACTTAAGCCACTTTTCATGAAATCTATCAAGAAGCTTGTTTTTTTTTATTACATAGCAGCAGCATATACGAACGAAGATTTATAAAAACTGCTTTTATTATTTAATAAATAACATGCATAATGTGAGGCTTATTACTTAGTTCAAAATGCATTAATTCTTCACTGAACTTAAAAAGCAAAATTTTGTTTTGTATAATACCGAACAGATTTAATTAAAAAATTATAATTTTTTTTCATAAAGTCAACAAAAACTTTTTTTTGTCATTTTTTAAAAATATTTCAGCTGCGTGCTGCAGAATTTTCGGTGATATTTTTCAAACGATTCAATATGTTCATGTATGAGATTCTTCAAATATCTAATGACACATAATAAAGGGAAATAACATTTATTTCATGACACAGAACATAAATACAGCTGTATATAGTTTAGAAAACAAATAGACGACACAAAATCACCAAGAACGCCAAGTGAACGTGAACGCCAAGAAAGCCGCCTTTTAATTTTGGCAAGAACGCCAATATTTAAAGGTGGTTGCCTAAATCTGAGATTTACATTTCCTTTGATTTTCGAACCAATATAACTACAGTCATAAAAAAAGATGTCTAGGTATAGTAAAGTGATAATATATTCCTTCAACTACCACTTACATTGACATCTGGTGGATTTTTAGAGAAAAAAAACGCTCTGCTTGTAAACAGTGCGAAACGCAAGGACAAGTCAAATTCAAAATATAAGGACATTATCGATCTCATGTGAACATTTGACTAGAAATCAAGCCTTAAAATAATTAAATCTAAATAAACTTTCTAGTAAACATTTTTATTGACTATAGAACAGGAAATTCTATCGTCTGAAAAAATTTTAAGTTTGGGAGTTATTTTCAGCATTGTAACGTCAAGAAATATGGGAAAATTAATCTTTATAGCTTCCACGCTAGTTTTTGTCGTTATCACAGTTTTAGTGTAAAAAATTTGGTGATTTTACCCTTTTTTCATTTATTTGTGATGCACTGAGTAAGAACTTTCAGAACTCAGCATAATTGTTTTGTACTAACACTAACGAACGAGTAGCGCTTCAGTATAATCCAGCCACCAAGCATATTTTAACAACTACAACTAATGCCAAACAGTATAATCTCTCCGAACGGTGGGCAAAGTGTTAAGTTGAATAGTGACAGGTTGTAAGCAACTTTTGTTTGACAATACAAGAAATCTATATTTCAATTTTTATAGTATGCTTCGTACGGCGAGCTATTGAACTGATGGTAATACTATTGAGTCTGTTCTATACTTGAAAAAAGTGCCATCTGTTGCTATAAAAATCGTTTTATAAATTCATTAAAAAACCAATGTTATAATGTTTTTGACGGGATGTAGGCAACTCTAATACATATCTCTAAATATATATTTCAATTTCTATCGAATGCTCCGTAGGGCGAGCTATTGAACTGATGGAAATACTATTGAGTCTGTTCTACGCTTGACAAAAGCGCCATCTGTTGCTATAAAAATCGTTACATAAATTTTTTAAAAAAACCCAATGTTAAACCATTTCGAAGATGCTCATCGAAATTTGGAAATTTTTTACCAAAATTAATCAAGGCGACTCATAATTCCATAACTTTATAATTTTGAGCACAATTTAGAAAACCAATGCAAAATTCAATTCTTAAGTCAAGTCTTGAGAATATTCACATTCATGATAATGAATGCGTATTCTTAAGATTCAGTAGATCACGTCACGTGTATATATATATATATATATATATATATATATTAAACAGCCGACCCTTTGGGTTTACGGTTACTAATGCTCAACTCCGTAGCCTTGTAATTTTGAACCAATGCAGAAGACAAGGAAACTCCTGGATCAGTACCCCTAGAGGTGTTGATCTGTCACGTGAACATGGAGGGCTTTGCGACTCGACAGATATAACGTGCATCAGTCACCATTTACTACAAGGGGAGTCTCCAGCCAGCCGGGATCGAACCCACGAACTCTTGGACATGGGCCCAGTGCCCTACCAACCAGGCTATCCCGGCCTCGCGTGGATATAGGTTTATTTTACAGTTCTGCATAAAACAAACCAATATTTGATTTATTCAAATAGGAAAACCACGAAAATCTAACGTCGTTAACCGGACTGTGAATGCATCCTCATATATGATCGTTGGATTTCCTATTATATCTAAATATCCTCTAATGCAAGGATAATACATCCAAAATATCACGATTTTGAGAAATATCACTTAAGGGAGCTAGCTATTTTGCATAACCGCGGTGTTGTAGAACGAGAAAAAACTTCAAATTAATTAGCCATCCTGATGAAGAGAGCGTAAATCGAGCGTTCGTTAACGAGATAAGAGAGCTAACTCTAATGTACGTTTCATATGCTTACCGGTTCACACTTAGTCGTTTTACTATAACTAGACACTTGTTTTTTGACTGAAGCTCTAACTGTTCGAAAATTATTTTAGTGCTTTTTACACAGATACAATTCAGTAAAGATATATTATATAATACATTATTCCATTTACAATTAAGAAAACAAATACTAATGTCAACATAAGGTCGTGCCAAATATGAAAGCTCTTAGAGAAATTATGAATTGTGTAAACAAGTTTGTTCCTGTCGCTTTAAGAAAATAACAATTTCGAAGATTAGAAGGTTTTCAGTTATTTAACAATTCTGATTTTTTTAATGCAAAAATACTATACATTATATTTTTCACCACAATGTATCGTCATTTTTTGTAAAACGTGCAATCCTATAAATTCAAATCGTTGCGGAATATATTAGGAAAGTTGTTATAAAAATATGAGGATCGTTTATTTTTCTCAAAATTTGATACAAATTAATAAAAAATTTAATTATTATCAGTTTTACGAAAGTTCAATATACCGTTTTGTAGGTTAATTTTTTTCCCTCAAGAAAATGAAAAATCCTAGAAACTTTTTTCATGAACATTATTTTGCTAAAACAACGCAGAACATCGCAATGATGGAAATTATGCCAAGATGCCATAAAAAAGAGCGTATTTGACGCTCTTCTGACGTAGTTTTGTTACTCCGAAAATTTTGCCTCTCGAGATATGTCCTTTAAAAATGAAAAGCCAGAATTTCAGTGAATGAAAATTTCATTTTAAACGTTAACTTTTTTGCGTACATTCTTTAAAAAAGTTATTTTTAATTAAGATGTTGTCAGGTGCCTTTAGAAATTGCTGAGCTTTACTCATTTATTTCAAATCGATGACACATCCTATATTCTTCAGTTAAGATTCGAAACTATTTCAACATGAAATATAATTAAAAATTTACACAACTGCACGAATTTCTTATATTCAAATGTACAAAAGAAAAATATTTCATTTATTTCTTCTAATGCAAGCATGAAATATTATTTTATATAATTTATAATATATTCTATTATATTAATTCATTAAAAAATAATAAACCTTAACAAATAAAAGTTTCATCTAAATTTCTAAATCAGTACTACTTTTATCGAAAATAATTGCATGATACCACAACAAAACCGGTTTATAATTATAACATAGATATGATGCTCAGCTAAAGTATTTAAGGTGCAAAAAAAGTAAAACTGCTACACATTATTTTAAAAATAGATTAAAAATAAGAGAGCAGTAGAAAAATATTTTATCAACAAAGCACAAGATTTTTTAATATTTTATTAATTTGAATAATCTTAATTAGTTAATTTAAATAATCGTAACATAATTTTTTAACATAATTTTATAATATTTTTTTACATGATCTTGTAATATTTTTCTAATAATAATAAATCTTTTATTAATTAATTTAAACAAAAAGTGAAATACTTTAAAAATAAGACGTGCAATATTTTTAAAAAAATATGCAATTTTGAAAGACCAAGAGAAATATACATGCCTTTACTTGGAGGTTTTAGCCCAAAACAAGCTAAGTTAACCATTAACCTTAGTTAAAAAGTTAACTATTTAACAAGCTAAGGTTGAAATGCAACATGAAAATATAATTATTTATTGCTTAAGTTATTCAATTTTACATAAACACTTAATTTTTTTTACACCAGGATTTGATATTCATACCCCAAAATGCTTCGGGAAGCGAAAATTTCGTGTTTTCCTGTAAATCTTTTTTTCCTCCAATCCAAAAAAGGCAATTAAGGAATAAAAATTTCTTTAAAAGTTTCCCACTGTATTTTAAACGTTTATATCTATATTTATGAATTTAATATAAAACAAAAGGGATCAATTTAATGATCTAGTTGACGTCAAGTACTAATAATATATTTTATAAATACTTTAACAAATGATGGAATAAGTACGGGATGATTCTTTATAACAACATGCACCCAATAGAAGAATTAAATAAACTATTCATAAATAATTTTTTATCTACGAATTTTTTTTTAAAAGCATAAAGTGAAATATTAAACCAAGAGTTCGCTATACCCATTGTTAACTTCATATTCGTTAGTGTTATCCAATTCAGTAAAACGATCTCAAGATTTATTTAATTTATTTTACATCGAAATAAATCAAATGTGATTCCCCTTTCATTGCTGAAATTGAATGATTCAGTAATGATAAGGCATAAATTCCATAAATAGAAATCATTCTAAAATATAACCATATAGTACGTGAAGACACATATACGCAAGTACATTATGTTATGACAACACCGAGTTTTCCATCTTGTTTGTTTTTCATAATATACAAGTGATTAGATTGATAACCATCGAGTTCGGTACATTTCCTTTAAAAGAACCACGCTTAGATAAATAACAGTCAAAGAATATTAAAAAAAAAAAAACGAAATTTCTATCCATAAATACATAAATCAAGGCAGCTATCTCCGAGACAGAACATTGGTTTGTACCATTTTAGCCCCTCAATAATTTAAAACCATGGCAGCCATCACTAAAAAGAAACATTTCCAACACCATTTTGGTTCAGCTAGAGCCCCTAAATTAGACAGGCCGACTTATCATTTATTTTTGGAGCAAAGAGCTAATATAAGCTCATAACATAACTGATACTAACATAACGTTAACTTGCGAACTTGTTTGCTCCAATATTGCTTGATAGGTCAGCTCTGATAGTATAGGAGCCTTAGGCACAGCAATATAAATTCAAAATCGGCAGCTATCTACTATTAAATGATACATTTCTTAAACACTATTTTGGTCCAGCAGTTTAAGAAATATAATTTCACATCATGACAGCTATCTCCAAACGAAAACTTTTACTTTTTTAACTTCTTCAATAACCAAAATTTTGGCAACTATCATAAAAAGGACCATATTTTAACACCATTTTGGTTCAGAAATATAATTTCAGATCATGACAGCTGTCTCTAAACTAAAAACATATTGCTCTGGTCTAGTCCTTCAGTAACCAAGATCGTGGTAGCTATATAAAAAAGAAACATGTTTTTAACAGCTTTTTTGGTTCAGAAATATAATTTCAGATCATGACAGCTGTCTCTAAACAACAAATATATTGCTTTGGTCTAGTCCTTCAGTAACCAAGATCGTGGTAGCTATACAAAAAAGAAACATGCTTTTAACAGCTTTTTTGGTTCAGAAATATAATTTCAGATCATGACAGCTGTCTCTAAACAAAAAATATATTGCTTTGGTCTAGTCCTTCAGTAACCAAGATCGTGGTAGCTATATAAAAAAGAAACATGTTTTTAACAGCTTTTTTGGTTCAGAAATATAATTTCAGATCATGACAGCTGTCTCTAAACGAAAAATATTGCTCTCGTCTAGTCGTTCAATAACCAAGATCTTGACAGCTATCATCGAAAAGAAACATATTTTAACATCGTTTTGGTTCAGAAATATAATTTCGGATCATGACAGCTATCTTCAAACAAAAAATATATTCCTCCGGTCTTGTACTTCAATAGCCAAGATTTAGGCAGCTATCATAAAAAAGAAACATATTTTAACACCAATTTGGTTCAAAAATAAAATTTCAAATCAAGCTGGCTATCACCAAACAAAAATTTATGCTATCGTCATTTCAATAAACCAGTACTCCGAAATCACGCCAGGTTGTATTTCCAAACAAAACAACCATTTCTGTGAATTGCTATAGGCGCGATGACAGTTACGCGATACTAAATAGGCGTTGTCCTTTTAAAGAAAATAGCACCGATATAGCTACATGAAGGAGAAAGTAGGAGGTAATTGAATTTCAGATATTTATTTGTATTGGCTGTTGTTAGTGCTTCCACAGTCTCTGAGATTGTTGAAAGATGTCGATTTCCGCATCCGTAATCCGCAAAATCCAATATTGCGATAGAAGTAAGCGTTTGGTAAGACAAGGGCAATGCGTATCAACAAGTGAAGAAGCGTACGCCAATTCAGCAAGTGACCCCACTCTGTAGAGAACAATGCTGAAAAAGAAAAAAAAAATTATGTATACGTTACTGGCAAAGTTGATAAAACAGCATGTTACAGATAAGGTGCAGAAATCAGTTATTCTATAGAATATCTAAATTTTCTAATTAACTAGAGTGATCCGTTAAAGTAACCAAAAAATTGATGCATTTCTTAGATAACGTCAGGCAGCGGTTCCCAATTTGTTTCGACTGTGGAACCCTGAATGATCGACCTTCTTTTGGCGGAACCCTGATACATAATTAACTAATCTCGTTAACAATTGTAGGACATTTTAAATAACGAAATACAACTAATTTTTTTAGTAATATGTACTGATCTAAATTTTATTAATTATTTTGAGAAAATATTTAGTGAATGAATGAAGAAAGAAATTTTTTTCTTCGTATCGTTTTATCAATTTATTAGTCTAAAAAATTGGGTTTTATACCAGATAGCTGAAATCACAGATCTGGAGCCGCATCTAGACTAAGTTCTTAATTTGATTTTAGTATATGTATGAAACAAAAGTATGAAACGCCGGCATTCAATGAAAAAAATATTATGTAAATGATGCGCATTTCTCAAAAATAAAAATTTTATTCTGAAAAAATAATGAGAGTGCCATTAAAAAAATTTATTCAAAATGTGTAAAGAAAAACATAATTTATGTCTTTCTTATTAAGGGAAACGAAATTTTCATACAAAAAAAAAAAAAAAAAGAACTTAACCTACTTGTTGCAACATGGCAGGCTTGAATGACAATTTGAATTTGACATTTTTGAATGACATTTTGACGAATCGGAGATGTATTTTATACTTTGCCGGTTTCTCATTTGTCATTCTATAGAATGCGTGAAATATAAATTCCTAGGAAATGTGTGAAATATAAATCGTTTCATACATTGTCGGCTAGTTTTAGGCATTGTATATAATGCCTATAGGCATTCTATGAAATGCCGGATTTCAAACTTTGCCGGTAACATATGCATAAACTGAAAATGAAACAGCTGAAATATAGTTTCCGTTAAAATATTAGCATTATTTTGAATTTTCTTAGGTCACAAGCATTTTAATTAAATAATACTATTAAAATAATGGATATTTAATTGAATTTAAATTTAATACCAAGATTTAAATATCACGTCTGTTAAAAAAAAAAGTCCTAACTTAAGTTAAAAAGTTAACCATTTAACCTCGAAGCCCCTGTCACACTTCCACGGAACAGTAGGGTTCCGTCAAACACCATTTGGGAACCACTGACCTAAGGTAATCTACAAACTATCTACATAATATTACCTACTAGACACTTGTTAAAGTGAAAGTAAGATCTTAGCTTGAACAGCAGCAATGCTACTGTACGCTTAAATTCTTCTTCAGGAGCGCAACAGCCCTTTGCAGGCCTTGGCTGCCTCAACAGCACGCCTTCTCCAGCTCCCTCTGTCCATGGCAACTCCCCTCCAGTTCTTAAGTTTTAGGACTTTGAGGTCGTTTTCGGTGTCGTTGAGCCATCGAGTAGGTGGTCTACCTCTAGGGCGGGACCCCTGAGGGTTCTTGAAGGTGGCAATTTTTACAGGGCTATCTTCAGAGCCTCTCCAGATATGACCGAGCCATCTTAGTCGGTTGCTTCGGATTATCTGCATAATTTGAGGATGTTTATAGAGCCCATAAAGTTCAAAGTTGTACCGTGTTTGCCAATATCCCCCCCTCAGGTATGGCACCAAAGATAGTTCTAAGTATCTTTCTTTCAAACGTTTCAATCGGGAGTTGGACGTCAAGGTTTAAAGTCCAGGTTTCGTTTCCATATAGCAAGACAGGCAGAATGAGTGTCTTATATAATTTTGGTTTTGTTTTTCGGCTAATAAAATTCGATCTTAGTTGACTTTTTAGTCAAAAAAAACATTTGTTGGCCATATTGATTCTATTGTCAATTTCAGATTTCAGTTTGTTTTGGTCATTGATAATTGTACCAAGATACTTAAATTTTTTAACCTTTTCAAAGGAATGTCCGTTTATCTGCAAAGGTTCACTATAGTTTACAGTTGAGCTTGAAATAACCTAATGATATTTAATGATTTCGATTTTTCGACATCTAAAAAATCAAGTTACTACAATCAAGAAATCAACATTAGTTGATAGAATCAATCACCTATCAATACAGAAACTATAGTAAAAGGAATCGAACGGTTAAAAATATTATTGCAATTAAGAAAATAATGATATTTATTGACTTAACGATGTCTAAAAAATCAAGTCAATGAATACAATCAACAAATTAGTCGATGAAACAAGAGAAACAAATTTTTTTTAATTTAACGATACGGAAGCCGTTATTAAATACATAACAGTTAAACTACACTTGATTCGGAACTTTAACGTGTTTTATCCTAGTTAATCTGTAAATCAGCTGGGTCATGTGCATTGTAACGACCTTCGAGATCTAGCAGTAACAGATATATAGCTGCTGAAACCTTATAAGGTTTTAAATAGAACAATCGTACAGCCAAGCTTAAGAAGTACGATAACCTTGTTCAAATCGTCAACCATATTTCGAATATATTTTTCGGAGTTTCAAACTCATAGCTTAAATTTTAGGTATGTTTGAACACACTTTTTCAAAACTTAACCTCTTAAATTATTTGTAGTAGAAGAGAATTTAAATGTGAATGATTTCTGTGATGGTAAAGCATCCACTTAAGGCTACAGTAAATTTAACAGTGTATACTTACCCAGTACCTGTAGGCTGTGGCAAAGGGCTACTGTAAGCAAAAGTGTTCTCACCACTCCCTTGTCCATTGTTCCCCAAAAGGACACAAAAAGAAACGAAATAGCTGAAATACACAAAAAAGGTATCACTAAACAAGTAAAGAGATGAAAGGGAAAACGTACCTACTGTTTGTCTAAGATAGGTACTCTGCCAGACATTCGTCTGGAGCTGTGGCGGTGACTATGGTAACAAGGTATGATTATAGTTTGTCGAAAGTAAGATCTCTCCTAAACATTTGTCTGGACCCGTGGCGGTGACTTTGGTAACGAGGTATAACTATTTCAAGTAGAGGTGTGGGGTGACTGTTTAGGGCAGGTTTTAGCTTGGGTGGGCGAAAGAAAGGGAATCTTTTTCTTCGTGTTACCCTAGAGCAGGGTTTCTTAACCTGTTGTACATTGACCCCTTAGGGATCGATGGGTCATTTTTTGGGGGTTCGACGACTACTCCTAATTTTTAAAACCTATGGATCAATAATATTTAAATAACATTTATCTTTTTTTCCCCAAAAAGGGGAAAATACATACATATTTGAAACTCGTTGATTTGTTAGCGGTAAGTCACCCCGTGATCAAGATACCTCAATTTCCGCGCGGACTAGACACAGCCCTCTAATATCCCTGACATATTTTTGACATCCTCCACCAATCGGCTTTCAGTTTGCACCATTGCAAAATTTTAATTTTAAAAATTTTGTATTCTATTAAAATAATAAAATTAAATGTTTTCTAATGATTAATGTTTTTTGCAATTATTTTTTTCACATGGGGGTGGTTCGTGACGTCTTAAATTTTTTAAAAAAGGGTCCATTATACCAAAAAGGTTAAGAAAAACTGCCCTAAAGTGAAGAGAAGCTACCCTCCCTCAAATGTTCCATAGCTTCTTGTTTCCATAGCAGCAGACGGCATCAGACTTAGCGGCGGGGGGTTTTCTTACCGTAGACAAACTATAATCCCGTTGGGGCCGTTCTCACTGCATCCGATTGCGTGCGAATATGTTTAAAAACTACAAGTAAGAGGATCAGCTCGTACACGAAATCCTTTCTAAGGCTATTGTAACTGTGTAAGATTTTTTCATGTCGAGACTTGCTTGAATCTGCCGTCCTACGATAGAACTTATCACTCTTTAAAGAAAAAATTATTATAACCGGGGCAGCAAGTATTTGACACTTTAACTATAAATAAAACCGTCACGTCAAAAAATCTATGTCATAATCCTAAAAAGTTGTATTCAGGTATTGATATAAATGTAATTCTTTGCACTTTTAAGTATAACATTGCAGGTAATATTGAAACGCAAATATTAAATACCAATTTTCCGAAAAAATTTAATATATGTTAAATAGATTTGATTTTTTTATTCATCGTGATTTTTTTATTAAGTAAATATACTTTAAATATGGAGCACTAGATGGCATCAGATCTGCTGAAAGAGTTTATAGTTGTAAATTTGCTTTACGGAAGACATTCTAGTAATAGAAAATAAAGTAAAGATTCGAGTATCTATTTCATTATTTCCTTACGTAAAAACAAAACAAAGTATTAAGAAACTGTAAGTTTGAAAACTAAATTTGTAGACCTGTAAATTTCTCAGAATACTATAATATCTTATTGTATTGAAATGTTTGATTTTTTAACCATTTTTTTTTTCGTTAAACAATTTCATATGTCGAGTTTTTTTACAGTGTATGGCCCGATTATAGTATTAGATTCAACATATTAAATATATTATGTAATTAGGATAACGTTTTCAAGAATTATTGAATCATTACTGGAAATTGATGACTGCTCCTTCTACAAATATATATTAAGGGCTATCATAACGGAACACCATGTATATTAAACATCAACGTTATCTAGGATATTTACCTAGGGAAGTGCAGCCATAATATCGGCAAGCTATGTCAAATTGATGTGATGTCTCTCCACTCCATTTCGGAATATCAAAGGAATAATCTGGATAAAATAGATTCTGGAAAAAAAAATTATACCATTGAACATTTCTAATGATCGCAAATTTAAACTCAATTTCATAATTCTGGTGATCTCGAAAATTGCATTAAAATGTGAACTAATTTTGGGAACCCGTCATAAAGTAATGGCTGAAACGATTTATTCAATTCGAGGTTGTGTTGAGAAATTACTATGCTTAATCGCTTACTGCTTATGAATTTGTTGATTAAATAGTTCGTTTAACAACAATTATTTTAATAATCATTCTTTGATATTGCTCTGACAATTTGTCTGGCGCGTCATAAAAACCGAACATTTAATAACAATTTTTAAGATGCTCCATTTGTTAGTGATTTAATTCAAAATATTTCGGTAAATAAAAAAATATCGTAAAACGAAATAATTTAAAAGATCAATACAAGAAGTTTTTTTTTTAATGTTTTATATCCTTTAGAAGTTAAAGCTGCAGTAATAGAAAATATGGTATGAAAGATGTGTTTAGAGAAATGTAATAGATATAAATTTCAAGTTTATATATTTTGTGAAAATCATGCTAAATAGCTGTGAGATCAGAGGGAAAAATATTTCGAAAAAAAAGAGATACATACATGAAGAAAAAAATTATTTTGAAGATATTATGCTAATTAAATTGCAGAAACCGTATTTATTTTTTCTGTCTTTTTTTATGAAAAAACAAATAAACAAACAAACTGCAGAAGAAAAACTAAAAAAAAATGTTTTTTTTCTTCCCAACAAATCTTACTCTTTTTATTTGGGGATTATTCGTTTTTCTTTATACCTATTCCTTTATACCTTTCTTCAAATCTGTTAACAATTTTCTATAAATTAAATGTTCCCAATAGTTCAATAATTTCTTGTGATAAAATGGATATTCTGTCTTAAATATAAAGTAGAACAATGGAACACAAAAAATTGAAATATTTTCACTTTTAAATACTCACAATAAAGCCAAACAGGCCAAATATGAGAGCCATAGAAACGTGCCAAGTCGAATAACCCTTGGGAAACTTGACGTAAAGATGCTCATTATGACCAAGGAGCTGGCTGATCTGCAAATCAAAAATAAATGTTTTATGCAAATGTATTTCAAAATAAAGCTAATGATACATCAAACTTTTCATGAAATATTTATACTATTTAACACATTTTAAAACACATTGCCACGATGTATCATGAATATCGTTAGTTAACGACAAATGTCGAATACGGTATTATTACGGCAATAGCCAATACAATATTTTACACTCATCTTCATTTAACAAATTAGCACACAAATAGTTATTTAAATTACATGAGCTCATTTTGTTTTTAGAGCAAAAAACCATGTTTACTTTACATTGTTAGATATGAAAGTTACGTATAAGGAAGTAGAGCTGCTTAAAGTCATTTAATAAACTTTGTCATGAAAATATTATTTCTGTAAAAAAATAATTAGTAGAAGAGGGTGTGTAATCTTAGACCGCACGTACTTCGGTCCAGTGTACAGGTAAGTTAAGTGGTTCTTAATAATTTTGAAATCAGTTTATGTAGCTGATACCTGCAACACCAGACATATTATCTGATGTGCACAGGCTGAGTACATGTGTACACAAAACCGTTTGGGGCCCCTGGTTCGTACTTTAAACCAAATTTACATATTAATTAATTACTAAGTGTTTCTTTTAATAATTAATGACATAAGTAAAATACGATATATTCGTAAATTTGAGTTTATATTTATTTCAGTTTTTGTTAACTCATAATTCGAATAAACAATTTCTAGGGCAGAACACAAAAATAAATTATTTGTAACATTTATTGGGCCCCCTGAAATGTGGGGACCCTTGGATTGTGCCTCTCCGGCCTTATATGATAAACCAGGCAGTTCGTTACAGTTACAGTTACCAAGAACGTTACAGTTACCAAGGTTCACCAGTAACGTTCGACATTAAAGTTTATATATTGTAAAAGATGATTTTGAAAGGTGACCATGCTGCTTGACAAAGGCTTCTAGTTTCTAAATATTTCAAATATTTATCATCCTGTCAAACGGATGTGTAGTTGTCAAGGAGCTGATCTCACATTAGAAAAGGCCGGGGTTCGAAACTCAAACAAGACATGGATTTTCTTTTATTCTGTGTCTTTACTGTGAGAGCAGCGTTGACCCACCCAATATGATGCCTCTGAAAGAGAGGCCAACAAATTTGCCCTACTGATACCTGAAGGACGAGTGTCAATCTAGTGGGTATTGGAGAAAAAAAATATTTATCCTCCTTAAAGTTAAGCTAATTCCTTTAACAAAAAGGTACATTTAAGCTTTTTCTGTCGTGTGTAAAGAAAATACTTGGAGTTTATTTTATATTTTGATTTTACTAAGCTGATTACACACAAATAAATAAATGCAATGCTTTATATTGGTAGGTATGAAAAAAAATAAAAAACAACACTGACTTTTGATCTGTGGATATCGCCGTTATCTGTTTCCCCAACACCTAAAATCTTTCTTGTCTTCAGTCTACTGTGCAAATCTCCACTGCTGTGTTTTCTGTAAATATAAACACAAATAATTAGATTAAAAATTACTATATTAAGATAGATTACTATATTTAACAAGATAATTCATCAAGGAGGTCATTTAATTCGCCTCCATTTAAAGTTGTTGTAGTTGTAGTTCATTTACGTTGCACTAGAGCTGCACAATGGGCTATTGGTGACGGTTTGGGAAACACCCCTGAGGATTATCCGAAGACATGCCATCACAATTTTGATCCTCTGCAGAAGGGATGGCACCCCCGCATCAGTAGCCCGACGACCTGCACTCGAAGTCGAACACTTTACGGTAGAACAGTTTAACGCGATCCAATACCGCACACGTGAGGTCTCTACATAGACTGATCCAAGTGGTCACCCACCAGTACACTGACCGCAGCCAGTGATGCTTGACTTAGGTGATCTGCTGGGAACCGTGTCTAACGATCAGTCCACTGCGGGACCTCAATTTAAAGATAATGTAAGGGAGTGAGTTGAAAACTTTTATAAATTTGGCAAATAGCCTTACTATACTTTGTTTCGGGTTAAGAAAAAAATCATTATCTCTATAGAGAGAGACTTATTTGCATCTAAGTGCACGCCAAATGGATGCCAAGCTCCCAGCGCGAACGAATATCAACACTGCAAACTCTTGAAACGACGTGGCGCAGCTTCCCTTTCGTTTTCTTTCTTATTAACAACAATAATCAATTAAAAAGTAATAATTAAGAAAATGATATCGAAAAATCGTAACAAATATACGTCTTTCTATTCGCATTTAAAGAAACTGATGAAATAATGATAAATATTGTTTCGTGTGGACAATTTTCTTCTACAGTGAAACAAATGTAAAAATTCTTAATCTCGCATTTGATTTGTCAAGAGCATGGCAGTGTAAGCGCATATAAGTCAGCATAAGAGCCATTTTTAGTGGTCCAGTCAAATTCAATGCTCTTACAACGTCATATAGTTGTTTATTTTTCAAGAAGGAATGTTCTCTTTATTTGTCGAAATATGTCGCCAAGTCAAGGATTCCGAAACTGTAAATTTTTTTAATAATTCTATGATATATATCGTAAAAGATAGCACAAATTAAATTTCAGTCTGACGTGTTAACTTTTGTTGTTTTTGATGACATATTAACGTGACGTTAAATTTTAAAACCTTTTAGATTGTTTTGAAAGCATATTCGTATAATTTGAAAACGAAATAATACAGAACTATATGCAGTAAAAGATGATTACTTAAATCTTGTACCGCAGTGGTCTTTTCTTAACTTGCAACAGAGTATAACTATTATATTTATCATATCTAGTATTTTTTTCTTATAAAAATTACGTTTGTCACTTTGAATACACATGGATGTAAACTTTTTCAAAAAAATATTTTTTCAAAAAATTGTTTTTTTTTTTAAATTGATTTTCAATGGTTTTTCATTGTAAATCATTGAATATGTGAGAAAATTTTTCAAGAGAGCCCACTTGTATGGTACTTATGGATTCGACTTAAATTTTTATTTTAACCCAGGAATACTAATCTAGTGTTGTACCTACTTTATTATGATATGTCGCCAATATACAGTTTTTTATTTTCTTACAGTTTCCTTTGGTTTTTAATACGTTTTACTCGCGTAAAAGGAGATAGAACTCAAAACTGCTGTATCCCCCAAACGCTGATAATTAGAATTGTAAATTACGTATTGCGTAATTTTAGAATTTCATTTTTAAAAGAGTACCACAATTCATGCAAATCTAGACTAAAATAGAATAGCGTTCAGGGAGTGACAGAATTAATCCAAATGGGAAGGCAAAGGTAGTAGATGGTGTTGATGAGCACAGCGAGCTGAGAATTAGAGCCTCCTTTAGTCACTAACTAGCTCACAATTACTTTTAATCCATAACTTAACATCGAAAGAACTTGCAAGCACAATAATTGAACAATAAGACACAGAAAATATCATTTGTTAAACCAAATAAAAAGCTTATCCAAAACATGAAGTGCTCTCAAATAACCCTTTTCCATAACATAAAAATGAAACGAAAGCTAAAAATTCGCTCACGAATTAATTCATTCTTCAAAACTAAGAAATGTCCATTATATTTCAGCTATTCAAAACAGTTTTCTGTCCACCAACAACAGCTTCAAAAACAGTTTTAAAGTAATTGAATCGAAAATGTCAAATGTAGATAAAATTGTGAATATTTATTTGACAGTTGAATAAACAGTTTGTCAAAATATTTGGGTGGAAATATCTTTAGCTGTCAAAAAATTCGTCACTTCTACTTCTTAAATATATTTTCCTTAACCGCGTTATCATTTTTTTCTTAAACATTATTGGTTATGGCATCTTTTTTATTTATTTCGACGGTAAGTATACACTGGTCACAAATTAGCAGAGGAAAAAAAAAAAAAAGGTAATCGAAATTTAAAGAATCCCTTATGAGGAAAGCGGGAATGAAATCATCAAAAATATCTTACATAGCCTGGAAGTTTTTAATTATGTCTCAATCATTGAAAACTCGACAGATTTCGATGTCGTTTTTATTTCCTCTTAACGACTTAAATATAAAATTATATAAAAATGCCTGCATAACGAAAACAAAAGTATTAACTGTATATAAAGTTTTCACCACTAATTGGACATAAACTGTTTTGAGTCAAGAAGAAGTAAAAGGTATTGCGATGTACGTTTCAGTTTTTGAGCACTTCCTGCTTGAGGGTTACTTACATTACAGTTCGACATTAAAATGATTTTTCTTAATTTTCGATTATTCTTATTTTGACACTGAGGTACACTGATTAAGTATGGAGGTAGGTGAACCTTAATATAATCCAAATTTGCAACAACCTTTTTTTTTTCTTTTTTTTTTTTGTCGTATGCCTGTTTAGGCAGTGGGGGTGCAATTGTTCCTGTTTTTCAGTGGCGCCATCGATGGCCAGGAATTCGACTTCTGCCACGCCATTCACACAACCGCAACCCGTTTACAGGGCAGGCCACATTCACACACAAAGGAGAAAGAACATAGAAAACACAGGGAGAGAAAGAAACATCCATGTCTTGCCCGGGATTCGAACCCAGGACCTTTCGGATGCAAGTAAAGTTCATTGCCCCCTACACAGGCCGGTCGGCTGCAACAACCTTAATAAGGCTATAAGTCAGTTCATATTTTACTTCGTTTCATAACCGGCTGACCCGATTCTGAGTTCACGACTATCAGTGTTCATCTCTGTAGCCTCGTAACTTTGAACCCAGCCCAAAAGACAAGGGAACTTCTTTATCAAGCACTGGAACAAACTAGCCTTCGTGGAAGACTTTTTAATGAAACTAACCCGCATTTGCGTTACATGAACAGGAAAGCCCATGAAAACTTCCAGCGGTTAGCCCGATGGCAAGGTGATTTCAACTCATGATTCCTCTATCACTGAGGTTATTCGGCGTCAGCACCTATCTTAAATTATAAAAAGAAAAGAAATATTTTCATTTGTTTGCTAGTTATGCTTTTAATTTATAAAGGCCCTAATTTTTTTTTTTTTTTAATATTCTAATGTCAACTTTCGAGCAAATATAGTAAAATTTGAAATCTATTCAATTTTCGTTCCTTTCATTTCATTGAATTACTACTTCATATAAATTTGATAAATAGTGTTTTTGTTATGTAATTAATAAACTAACAAATGACATTTTTAGACAGCTATAGATGCTTTGCACGTAGTACGAAACTCTTGTTTCCTACGTTGTTTTCATCATTTTTACGAGCAAAACTTTCTCTATTAATTAAATTTTAGTATTTTTTCTTAGTTTAGCTTAATTAAATTTTGAATTTCTTACTTTTAAAAAATCCTTCAGGTTGGTTACAACCAGCTGTTGTCCGTCGTTGAACGACTTTTATATACCGTCTTTTATATTTTATAACCGTCGTTGAACGACTGACCCAATTTTGGGTTTACGACTACCAATGTTCTACTCCGTAACCCTGTAATTTTGAACCCAATCCAGAAAAAATTCGTCTTCGTGGTAGACTTTTTGATGGGACTAATCCGCATTTGCTTTACATGGAGGGGAAAACCACGAAAACCACCCACGGTTAGCCAAGGAGACTCTAACCTATGATTCGTCTACCATGAAGGATATTTTACGTCAGCACTGTGGTTGGTGCGAGCCGGGTGCGAAATTTGTATCTACCAGCCAACACAGGGATTCGAACCCGGGATACCTCATTGGGAGGCAAGCGCTCTATTCCCTGATCCACCACTGCTCTATATTTTGATATTGTGATTAAAAACTATTCATGTTAACTGAAATTTGGTAATTCTTTTCCAAGTGGCTTCGGGTCTAAGGCCCCGAAATCAAGTCGGGACTTGGGAACTATACTATAAAATCGGAGTGAATTTGGATCCTATTATAGTTTAACAATCGATGACATGATTCGAAATTTAATTGAGTTTTCCAATCATTCGTGTAAGACATAATAAGCAAACTCATGAGAAATGTACGAGTATGTCTTATAATGTAAAAATTATATCGCATGCTTTAGATACGAACTATTTCTTTTACCTTAACATGAAATACATAAAATGTCTTCGTTAATGTTAAAACTATCACTTCATTTAACTTTTCTACATCGCTATGTCTAGCTTATGTCTCTGTCTATCTCCTAAAGACTTGATTGTATTCAAATTATTTCAAACCGTCTTATAATTCATCTCAGCCTTTGAGAGCAGTGACAAATTAAATCCATCTTTATCAACCCGTATTGTTACCGTCTGTGATAAAAAACATGCACTACAAAAACTTTTTTCGTTTAAAAGCGGTATATATTTTTAAAAAAATAATATATTTATAATTTTTTTAACAAATTATTTTCAGTTTTACCCGGGGTATTAATACGATATCTTTAATTGTATCACAAGTTAATTTGCCTTTTAATTCAACCACAATTTGTATTTTAATTCAACCATGTATTTTAGTCAAACCGCTTTTCTCAGAATCAATCGTGAAGTACTAATGTTGTTTAC